CCTCTGCAGAAACGGTAGATACACGAATTGTGTGAACTGGCGAAACGGCTCGATCAAACATCACTTCACAACGCTGATCGCTTATCAACTTCTGCTCAACATTATCTCGAATAAAGCTAAGTAGACAGCGCAACCAATCGGCAATGATGTCACAAATATTAGTGAGCGCATGCCGATTCTGAAATTTCAACAATTAGAGAATATCTACGAAGTGGGGTTACAGCGAGGAAAAAGGTATCTGAAGGTACGTGTTCAAAACCGATGATTTGTGCGGCTCAAATACTGTGGACAAGATGGCAGATATAATATGAAAGTGAAGAAAAAAAGAACCAAAGACTAAATGCCCCATATGGAACACTATGCTGAACCGCGCTTGCAAGTGTATAAGGTGAAGAAAGGGCAGGATCGGACGAGTTCTTTTGCTGATGCCAGCTCATTCTCCTTGTATCCTCTTTCTCACCATTCGAAATGGGAAGAACTAGTAGCGGAACAACCGCACCACCAGAAACCTTTAGGACTGAAAGTTGGGCATTACAGTGGCCAGTGGGCGGAGCCGTGGTTTCGTCATAAGGGTGCGGCGCTTTCCTGACGTATATTTGAGCTGCGAAAATACATGCTCAACAAAGGTCATTCTTAAAATGTCTCCACAAAGGTCATTCTTAAAATGTCTCCGAAGGTTCTTCGCCGAGGTACACATCTCACCGAGGAACTCTCGACGAGGGAGGTGCAGACGTAAATGAATACCTGAGAGATTTCACATAGCTACTTTTTCTCATTTTGGGCGCATTACTCCCAGTGGAGGGATAGCATTTAAAGAATTTTGTTCCTATCGGGATTTTGTAGTCTATTCGCACTAGCAAAGGGTCCATGGTTGGCAAGAAGCACAAAAGGTAAGAAGGAGAGAAAAGAAATGTAATACGCTGACCTCTGGAGTCAGGTTAAGAGCTGCTTGAGCCCTTTCTTGACTTGCTGAAGCTGGCATCCCATTCATGACATTGAAGCAATTGCCATTTTTCATCTAAAGGAATGGTTGACTACAAGAATAAAGCAAGTAATTGTGATGAGTGAACTTCGGTGCAGTCCGGTTGGTGGGGGGCACCACGAACTCAGGGAATGTGTACCAAAAAGTACCTGTCAATCAGAATGAACTAGCAAAGGAGTCAACTAGCAGAAGGAACTAACAAAAGTCGCTCTTCGCCCCTCTCAAGCCGAACGGAGCGCGACCTTCTTCTGCACACTTGTGCGTATGCAGAAGAAGGTCGCGCTACTACATTACTACATTACTACATTACTTATTCGATAGCACATTA